GGGATGCCTTTCTCTTCTTGTCGCCTGCTTCTTGAACAGGCGCACTCTCCTTGACATTGTCAAGGTCTATTTTTCCACCACTCGACCCAGTAGCCATAACAGTGGGCTTGACATCCGAGAGATAGCACTCTCGGGCCATCCTCTGATCTCCCCTTAGGGACCCGACTGTTCCATTATCCCTCTCAAACTTGAGCAACATAAGAGATGGGATTATAACAGCCTTGGAATTATTCAGGGTTGGTCGTCCCAGAATCATGTTGTAGGCCGAGAGTTCTTTTACTACCAGGAATCGGACTACCATGTGTCGTCCTTCCCCTTTTTCGCCCAGGCGGATGGGTAAATCCACTCGTCCCACTGGGTGGACGACTCCTCCTCCAAACCCTACTAAAGGGTGGAATGCCGGATGTATGCAATCAGTCTGATATTTTAGTTTCGACAGACATTTGCTACTGATGAGATCTGAGGAGCTTCCGGTATCTATGAGGATTCGGCCAACTCTCTGGTTGGCCACTTTACATTCAATAACGATAGGGTCGTCATGCGGCCCTCGTACCCCTCCTAGATCTTCTTCAGTGATGACAATCTCAGGAAATGAATATTTGGAGGGCCTTTCTTGGTGAACGGAATTTACATCTAACCGTCTGATATTGTCTTTGTTGCCCCTAATAGTGGGGCCGCCTCCTGAGAAGCCGCCTGCAATGGTGTAGACGACTGCATCATCTGTATCGGAACTGTCGGCATGTTGATTCTTTTTGGCCGACTGCTTTCTTGAGGAAGTGTTCCCCGCAGATTTCTTGACATAAGTGTCAAGATCACCTTGCTCAGCCAGGCGGTCCATGTACCGCATGAGACTGATGCATTCATTGGTGTGATGACCAACATCTTCATGATATGCACAGAATTTTTCTTGGTTCCGGTTGTTTGCAGAACCCTTCATGGGGATCGGCTTCTCAATTGAGATCCGTCCCTTGATTTCCTTTAGGATAAACTGGCTATCCTTGTTAAACGCATACTTTGGGGAGTATGGTTTGAATTCTTTTTTCTTTTTCTGGGCCAGCTGTTTAGAGGAATCAGCCGCCCAGACCCCGTTTCTCTTCTCGTCTTTGTTTGACGACTGTTTCTGTCGTCCTTCTCTTTTGTCGGACCTTTTCCCGTCTGACTGTTTTACCGTACTACAAAGATCAGTCGCCTGTATATAGGCTTCCGCTTCAATCAAGGCCTCTTGAAGAGTCGCCACCCTCTTTCGGACCAAATCAAATTTGAAGGTCGACCCGTCTTTGAGACCTCTGAAAAAGTCAGTATAGGCTACTTCATCTGGTAACCCTTGAATCTGTATTCTCATCAGGTTAAACCGCCTGATGTAAGAACGAAGCCCCTCCTTCTCGCCCTGCTGAATTGTTCCTAAATCAAGGGTCGTCTTCTTCGCAGGGATGTTCATGGCGAAGTTGGAGGTGAATAAGTAAGCAAGCGTCCTGAAGTTATTTACACAACCAGTCGGCAGGTTGCCGAACCATTGTTGTGCGATTCCTTTGAGAGTCGCTGGGAAACACTTGCACCAAGTGGGATCATCCAACCCTTGAAGGTACATCAGGTTGGTGAATGCCATCGGATGGTCTTCTGGGTTAGTAGTGCCGTCATAGGCGCCTACTAATACATTTTTCACTTTGGTCGGCTGAGCGGCTTCAGTAATTTCCTTGGAGAAGGCCGATGGCTGTTCACCAAGTCTAAGCAACCGTAGCTGCCAGTCCATAGGTTGGACATTTTTTGCTGCATGTCCACCAAACGGAGGTGGCTGTAAAAAATACTGTTGTTGCGGTAAAAACGATAAGTTTGGTACCGCCTGGTCGCTATGAAAGCCGGACTGACGGGAGGTGCCGCCTGACTGACTCTCACGATACGAATGAGTATGCCTCATCGAGGTATTTCGCAGACTGTCTTGGAAGTTTGAAGTAGAGGCCGACTCTGACAATCGGTCACTCTTCTTCTGCTCTAGCAGTAGCCGAGCGTCTGTGTATGTTTTCCTCGACCCGTCCGCCTAGATATGACGAACAGGTTTCCTATTTCCTGGAGTAGGAAAACGGTATTTTGTGAAATCAAGGGCAGTCGGCTCCCGCTTCCTAGATTTAGGATGAGGAGTCGCCTCTCGCCCTTGAACTGGCTTCCTCTTCTGTGAAGTGGAGGGTTTCTTAGCCGACTGCTCCTTGTCCAGAGCAGGCGGCTTCTTGTTGATCAACTCTTGAATTTCTCCCTTGAAGTCCCTCATGAAGGTCATGAGTTCGTTCCTTGTGATGGGAGCAGACCCATCAGTCGGCTGCTGCCGAACAGGCGGTGCGCCTGCTGGCTCACTTCCAGTTTGAAGATGTTCCCGTTCCCTCCTTTCAGTATGACGGGTACGTCGGGCCCTTAGGGTCCCGTCTGAAGCTGTGTGAGCTTCAACTTCAAATTCATTCTCAGTATCGTGGTCCGACTGAACTAGAGGGTCGTCCAGGGGACGCCTCTCTTCAGGAGTCGGTACAAACGTGGATGCCATCTCAGAAGTACTCTCCCCACAGACGGCGCCAAATGTTTCGGGGTTTTCTGATGTCCTGCGGGAGAGTTACAATTCCGAGACTGGAACCGGACGCCTGTACCTGCAAAACAACGGAGACTCCTTGTGGTGGGAGCTCCGCCTCCAACGATCAAGTTAGTACTTGTTTAAGGAGTAATTAATGCGGAAATTAAAGTGATTGGGTCTCTCTAGGTGAGAGTGTTTAATGTAGGTAATCTGCTTTTTTAGCGTGATCAGCCTGTAATCCCCCTTAATGAGGATTAAGGGAGGTATTTATAACCTCGGGAAACGTGCCAATCTAGGTTTAGGTTAACCTTGGGCTGATTGGGCTTCCCTCGGAAGTTGGGCCTAGGTGACCGGTTATCCCAGGTTTCATGGGAAGGACACGTGTCGTGTCGTGTCGTAATTGGTCCATGGTGGACGGATCATTGCTTGACACGTGGCAGACTCCTATTGGCCCATGTGACGGACACATGGCGGAACTTGATTGGTCCACTTGTCAGATGGTGATTGGTGGGGAAAAATTCCCTAATCAGTAAAGAAGAGAGAGCGTTGGGACTGTAGTAGTAGTAGTAGTAAAATTTTGACTTTACAAGCATTGCCAAAATTAAAAATTTCTTCCCCAAGTCACGTTCCACATGACCGAGTACGTCCTAATTTTATAACACTATTGGATTAGGTAAGACTAACATGTATCTCCACGTGGACATTTTTAATTGGTCAATAAGTCAACATAAAACACGCGACTTTTGTGAGTCTATGACTACCCCTAAGTTAGCGCGACCAAAAACATATCCAAATACCCCCACAAATCATACATCGTCTACATAAATTAATTCATACGAGTATTATTTTGTAAAATTTGAAAATTATAATAAGTACAGGGGTGAGCATGGGACGGGTATTCGTACCGTTAGTACTAATGGTTTGGGTAAACAATAATCAATATCACTAAAAGTGATATTCATAAACCGAACCGATAAGATCGGGTACCCGGACTTTGGATACTCAGATTTTCGGATCGGTTATCGGGTACCCAATAAGATATCCAATAATGACAATAAAACTTAATAATGTAGTTATTATGATATCATTTAACACTAATTAATAACAATAACACACGATCTTGACCAAATTATTAATAATATAACTAATCATTGATATTATAAAGTGATTATGAAGTAAAGTAAGAGTTTAGATTTTGGAATAGTACATATAAGTAGGACAAAAAATTGAATTTCAAGAACCCCGAAAACTGGACCAATTAAGTTAGGACCAAACCCAGACTGGACTGGTTTGGACCGATTTTAGAATTTTCATAAAAAAATTTCTAAATTTTAAATAATTTATGGAAAACTCGAAAAAAATTAAGGAAAAACAATATTTTAACATCTTTTTTTTGTATGTTTAGTACAAAAAAGCTCATACGACTAAAGTTTTCCAAGCTTGATAAGGATAATCTTAATCATTATTAAAGGTTTTATAAAAACCGGTCCAATCCACGACCAATTTTTATAGGGGTTTGGACCGGATCGGACCGAGGACCGAAAAAATAAATTTCTCAACCCGGAGACCGGATCGGTCCGATTCGATCCATTTTTTCAGTCCGGACCAATTTTGAACACCCCTACTCATGATTCTTGGCTTCTCGCCTACCTTTAGCCTTACTATCGTTAATACCCTCAACTTGACTACTTGGGATCTTCTCCTTTAATTGAAGACAAAGTCATCACCCTAGTTTTTGGTCTACAGTCTTCAATGGCTATATACATATACTCTCGCTGGACGTTACATCACCCACATCTAAATTTTTGGGGATGACTTTCTCTAAATCACCCAACACCTTGATTATTTCCTTGCTCTTAGGCTCCAAGTTTTTTGCTCTCATCAAGTCTTTTTGAGCTTCCACCAGCATCCCCGAACTGGCAAAAGCAACCCCTCTTCTAAAGAGAGCCTTCACAGTTTCTCCATCCACTCTCACTAATAGGGAACTAAGTACAATGACCTTGTTTAATTTGTTCAGTTTTAGAGCACAAGCACCAAGATTTGAGTGAAATCCTTAAGAAGTGGATTATTATCGCAATTCGAAACATTCTCGCATATAGTGCTGATAACAATGCATAGACTCTTAATTGCTTTGTTATAGATATCAAGAGCTTTGCTAAATTCACCTTCCTTGAAAAGGGAGTTACCTTCTTCCTTAAGGGATCGAAGTTACATATGGGACAACCTCATTAGGTCCATTGAATTTAATAAAGAGCTCCTCAATATCACTGTCACCTTCATCCAAGTTATCTAAGTGGTGTGATAGAAGAGGAGCAATTGAAAAGTCTACCCCCAAGCCTACCATAGTAGACGACAACAAGACACAATACTCAAAAGGAACTAATATAATACAAGAAAGAACAAACTAACTTTAACCCAAAATGAAGAGGAAGACAAGAGTACTTACTGATCAAAAGGTGTAGAGCAAGAATTTCGGCTCGTCGGTGCTAAAGGGATGATATTTGATCCACTCCAGACACCGACGAGCCAGTTGGGCTGAACCGGGCTAGGTGGCTCGAAAAGGTGTTTAAATTAGAGAGAGAACTATTAGAGAGAGAGATGTTGGGAAGATGGGCTTTTTATTTCATTAAGTTCTGCACAGTGTGAAATTGTGAGATTTTGTCGAGTTCTTGTACCTACGGTAGTTAAGGCTTTATTTGGTATTGTTTTGGAGATATTTTAGCTTATTGTGCCCTATTAGAGTTTTGACTATTTAAAAAAGTTAATTTGGGTGTTTGATAAATAGCTTATTAAAAGAGTTTTTTACAAAAAGCTCATCATAAGAGTTTTTTGAAATGAACTTATTAAACAATTAGCTTTTTGGCTATTAAATACACTAAAACAGATAACAATTAGTAGCTATTTATCAAACAATTTTACACAATCAGTTATTTACAACCAATTAATCAAATTCAGCTAATACAACCAGCTATATCAATTAACTGCCAGCTAATTACCAAATGGGGCCTAAGTATGACAACCTAAAAACTCTTTATACTCCATATATATAGTTTATAATTTCTTAAAAAAAAGTTAATTATAGATGTATAGTCTATAAATAAACATTAATAATAAGTTAATAACATACGTATAAAGTACTTTGTATCTCCTAAATTAATTTTAGTTGTACTAAATTTTTTGTACTACACTTCATATTTAATTTAGGAAAAATTACTTTAAATAATCCAACCTTTGCTCCTTTCTCCCAAAATAATCCCACCTTTTGATTATTTCATAATAATCCAACCTTTTACCCCCATCTTCACATAATGAAAGGATTAATACCGTTTTTTAATCCCAACTTTCACCAATTTATTTTCATTAATCCCAACTTTGGATTATTCCTCAATAATCCCAACTTTAAGGTGTCTATCATTCTTCATACCCAACCGGTAACTAAACCTGTTATATCAGGTCACTTGACACGTGTCAAGTCTTGATTGGTCAAAAAATTAAAAAAATAACAAAAAGAAAAAAATAACAAAAAAACAAAAAACAAAAAAAACAAACAAAAAAAACCAAAATTAAAAAAAAACCACCCAGCCAAAACCCCAACCACCCAAGAGTTCCGGCAGGCCGCCCAGCCCAGCCATCTCCCTCGTCGGACCGCCGGACCTCCCCCTCCACTAGAGTTGCCGCTCCGGCCGCTACCATCTAAACCACCATCCCCCCTCCCCGAAACCCCCTATGCAACCACCAATAAAAACCCGAAACCCCCTCGCAACCACTCATTTCACGACATCTAACCAGTCGCAACCCACCATCTTCATTCAAACCACCACCACCCTTGTCTGACCATAAAATTGGGCTTGAATTGTTGAAAGAAGAAAGAAATTAAGAAATCAAACCACCACCATTTGCAAATTTCAGATGTGATTTCCTTTTCCACTTGAATTGTTGATAGTGAAAGTGGTAAAGGAGAGAGAAAGTAGAGTTGTGGGGTGAAGGCAACCTATTTATGGTGGTTATTTGGTCGGTAAAGTGGTCATTTAACAAGGAGTTAATGATTTTCAGGGAACAATCGAAGGTTGGATTGGGAGTGTTGGTCGGTGGGCTATGGACCTATTGGTTGAGGAGAGAGAAAATTGAATTGAGAGTGAAGATAGTGGTGGTGGTCGTTCGACAAGGATGGTGGTTCAGTGATGGTTTCAAGGTCCATGGTGGTGATTCGGCAAGGAAAGAGTGGTTCGGTGGCTGGGGTTAGGGGTTTCGGGATGAGGGATGTCATATAGGGGGTGGAGATGGTGTTTTCCGGGGTGGGAGAGGGTCGGGGTCAGGTTTCGCGGTCTGAGCAGTGGGTGGGGTTAGGAATTCCGGTGAGCTAGGGTGGAGGGTTGGGTCATTTGCTGGTGTTTTTTTTTGGGTGGTTTTTCTTTTTTAATTTTGTTTTTAATTTTATTTTTTTTAACCAATTAATTTGTGACACGTGTCACTTTAACAAAAAAAAAAACCAAAATTAACCCATTCAACCGGCAACCAATTTTTGGGATTGAAGAATGATAGACCACCTTAAAGTTGAGATTATTGAGGAATAATCCAAGTTGGGATTAATGAAAATAAAATGGTGAAAGTTGGGATTAAAAAACGGTATTAATCCCATAATGAACCCAGATGACCGATTACCTAAACAACCGGTCATCCTTTTCTCTCTCCTCCCTCCTACCATCTTCCTCCATTCCACCACCCAAAGTTCCACCCCCTTCTTTTTTCCTCTTCCCCCAACCACTCTAGCCCCTTCCCACCAACAAACTTACCGCCCCCCTTCCCCTAGCAAACCTGCCGGCTTTCAAAAACCGGCCCACCCTTTCCCTCCTCCACTTCCAAAGCGGCTTACTCCCACCAAAAAAATTTAAACCCCTTTAATTTGCATTTTTCGACGAGAGAGAAAGTGAGGGGGTTGGGTTTTGGATGCTTTCAGGGATGGAGTAGGTGATATTCGAGGGCTAGGGTTTTAGTTATGGGTTGTTTTGGGGTTATGGTCGGCGGTTTCGAGGGTATAGAAGGTGGTTTGGGGGCTAGGATTTTGGTTATGGGTTGTTTCGGGTTATGGGTGGCAATTTCAGGGGTGGAGGAGGTGGTTTCGGGGGCCGGTGGTCATGGAGGATTAGAGAGGAGAGAGAAAGGTGGTTTTTTTTTTATTATTATTATTTTATATATATATATATATATATATATATATATATAAATTAAAATCTAAACCAAACCAATAAAAACGTGATACGTAAGCATGGGGTAAAAGGTTGGATTATTGTAGAATAATCAAAAGGTTAGATTATTCTGGGAGAACGGAGCAAAGATTGGATTATTTAAAATAATTTTTCCTTTAATTTAATTATTTACGGAATATGTTTTAAAACTATTAGATTTGATATGATGAAAATATGATAGTGTAATAAATCTAAAAAGATATGATATCTTATGACTAAATAATCAAATAAGATTACTAGGCTTATGACTAAATAATCAAATAAGATTACTAGGTGGATACTGTAACAAAGTTTACACAACAAAAAAAAAAAAAAAAGAAAAAAAGATGCATTATTTTAATTGCAGTATAAAGCATACAAAAATAAGGAGTGTGAAACTGTTTTACAAATTCCTATATGAGACTGGATGATTTGAATTTGAGACATATCTAATGCGAATCCTAGGATATACGAAGTAAAACCTATGGTGCACACACTTTGAATATTTCTTATTTTAATTAAGGTATCATTAACAACTTTTAACAAATACATGTCAAACGATATAATACTTATCAATCACTAATTTTCAATAATTTGTGTAACTAATATTTAATTACAATACATCACCCTATCTTTTTCACTATCAATATCTTGGTATATACTATGTATTAATTTTAACTAATATATTTTAGGAAAAATTGCCCAGAATAATCCCACCTTTGGGGCGTTCGCCTAATAATCCGACCATTGATATCAATTTGCTCAATAATGGTCCCAAGTGATCACTTACCCGTTAAATAGGTATATTTTTTTTTTAGTATAAAGTACACATGTCATCGTATAATTTGTCTACAATTTTAAATTAAAAAAAAATGAATTCAATAAAAAAAATCCGGCAGCCACCCACTCCCAAGCCTCAGCCATTGCAATAAGCATCGAATAAAATCCACCCATTGTGAGATCAGAGCTCATGATGCAAGATGTGTCGTCGCTACTGTTGGTAGTCTGGGCGGCTGAAATCAGGGCAGGGAAAGGTAAGGGAGGCCGAAATCAAGGCGGGGGAAGAGGAGGAGGCCGGAATCGGGGCGGGGGAATGACAGAGATGCCGGAATCGGGACGACGTTTTCCGAAATCGACGGTGGAGGGTGGTTATTGCTCGCTGGTGCTTCCTGAAATGTTGCCTAAGTTTTCAAAGGAGGGTCTGGGGTGTTGGTGGTGTGCGCCGAATTATTTGGTGGTGAATGCGATAATTGAAAAGAAAGAGGATGGGGCTGGTTCACGGTGCAGCCATACTTTGATGGCGGTTTCGGTGGAGCTTCTGGGCGGTCGACGTGCGGGACAGGAGAGTCCGACAGTTGAGCCGGTGGGAACGAGCGGTGGGGAGGGTGGTTTTGGCTGGTGGGGCCTTTTTCAAAATAACTAATTAATTTTTTCTATTTTTTTAAAAAATTAAACTTTTGTTATTTTTTTGACCAATCGCAGGCCGACATGTGTCAGTTGACTTGTTATAACAGATTAGTTGACCGTTTGGGACCGTTGGAGTGGATTGGCTATAAAGGTCGGCTTATTTAAAAATAATCCAAAGGTGTGATTATTTTGGACGGAAGCCCCAAAGGTGAAATTATTTCGGGCAATTTTTCCTATTTTTTATCAATTACATTCGAAACAAAGGTTATTATTATTTATTTATTTAGAATAAAAACAAAGGTGGTTCTTTTTTTTTTTTTTACAATCAAGAATACAAAATAAAAACAAAGGTTATTATTAGATTAATTACAATAGGCAAAATATTAGATTAACCATTATAGTGGTTACATTAACAAACACGCCAATTAAATTGATGCATCTATTACTCCGTAATAAACAAAGCCAGAGTATTTAATTAATTCTTTTTCTGTCACTACTATAACAAGGTGCAGCAAAATATTTTTCACAAAAAACACCAGAAAATACTTTCCACTCGACGTTGTTGTTGGCATTCAAGTCCATTTTCTCTCTCCTAAAAAAAGTAGATTATTGGGGAAATTTTTTCATTTTCATCAGAGAAACAAAACAAGGTAAGAGAAAAAGAGAGAGAATCGCTTCGAAGGCAAGCTACAAAAGCTGAACAAACCCTAGCCCCATCCAATTTTGCTGTTACACAAGAAGAGAGAGAAAAACTGTCAAATTAACGCTCACATTTTACTCTCATTGATTACGATTGCTTTTCTCACTCTAGATCTCTTTAAATTACTCTAATTTTTCCAGCAATGTTCAGATAATTAATCATTATTCCTCAGGTAATTTTTGGTTGATTTTTTGATTTCAGCTTTTTTTGCTGAACTTTACTTATTTCTAGCTTAATTACTTGTTTTTCAGCTTAATTTTGCTAATTTTTGGATTAATTTTGTGTTATTTCTGATTTTGTTAGGTTTGAGTAGCTTTTGTTGTGGAAATGGCGTCAAAGTACGGGTCAAAAACGAGGAAATTGGCGAATTCTGCGTCAACTTCAACTACGACGTCATCGAAGAAGTTTCTGAAAACTTCGGCGGATTGTCAGACTTCGCCGGCGTCGTCTTCGGTGAAGAGTAAGAATCATCATCAGTACTTCTACTCAGAGAGTCCTCCTGTTGAAACTGAGAAATTGAAGGAGAATGTCACCGTCACAGTTCGCTTTCGTCCACTCAGGTGAATTTCCTGCTATTTACTCTTTATTATTTTTGTATTTTTGTTTAGTTTTATAATTGAATTGAATGAACTCATTTTGCAATTAATTAAGTATTCTGGATTCTGATGATGTCTGTGGAATCAGTCCGAAGGAAATTCGGCAGGGAGAGGAGATTGCGTGGTATGCTGACGGCGAGACAGTTGTGAGGAGTGAGCATAATCCGTCGATAGCTTACGCCTATGGTAATTTTAATTACTTGCATGAGTGAGTATTTCAGTAATGTAGGTATAATTTACGAGTCTTAGTAAAAGAATCGGTGTTAATTTAATGTTGGAAGATTTAGTGACATCTTGTGTTGGCATTTACTAATCTCAATGTGGCTAGCTGTGACAAAAAGACGATACAGCAACCATTAAACTTGTTAGAGTGATCGTTCTTTTTTTTTTTTTTTTTAACAAAAACTCGATACATGTATGAGTAATTAGTTGCTAATGTCTGTATACTTTTAGAGTCTTATAATAACTATTGGTGTTGTTGCAAGTTAGAAGTCTTTGTGATATCTTATGCTGGCAATTACTATCCTAGGTGTGGATTCAAGATGTATGCTCAATACATTGAGTATTAACATGCATGAGTGATCATGTGTTAATGTAGGTATAGCATTTGAATCATAGTGGAAGAATTGGCTGTTTTGATGTCAGATTGTATTTTATCTTACATTGAGATTTCAGTCTCAAATGCATAATTTCTTTAGGTGTAGAAAATATTTGATTTGATTTTATTAAATATATGGTCCATAATTTGAACATCCAGAATTTCCATGTTGATAGACTTGTGAGAAAAAGATGCTAGAAAGATTAATTGTATTCATCTTATATTTTACAAAGCAGAATTAAAGCATAACATAATCACTAATAGTATACATGAAATTATTGAGATACACATTAACTAATGGTTATAGAGAATAATATCAAAGATATTCACAAAATAATAAAATATGATACGATTATAAGTATGATACCAATAGATGTATGATATCTCTTATTCTCTCTAAAATACTATCTAATTAACAGTGATGGAAGTTTTTTTTAATTCAAGACGATTATAAATGCAGAAGGATAATTCTACTTTCTGTTTCTTTAATTTATATGGAAAGAGGCTTGTGGTCTCCTTGATGTGCTTCCTTTGATTTACTTTCCTATCTAAACTTTCTTTTAATCTTTTGTAGACAGAGTATTTGGGCCCACGACCACTACACGCCATGTTTATGATGTTGCTGCTCAGCATGTTGTCAATGGTGCAATGGAGGGCATCAATGGTGCGTTAACATTCATATTAACAGGCATCAATGGCTGCAGTCTATTATGTTTCTTGAAAAAAAAAATTTGTGTCTCATTTTATTATGGTTCACATGAGTTCACTCTTTTTGTTTATTATACGATTTTTGAAAGGCCTCTTTTCTTATGTAGCACTGCAATCTTAAGATAATTCTCACTGAAATCTAAAAGAGTTTTGAAATCATGGGTTTTATGCACACCATACCTAAATAACACCGCATGGCCCAGACATTGTCTTGTAGTTTCCAGATCATGTAGTAATCTGGATTGCTACTCCATGAAGGGTAATAACATTTCTGATGGGGACAATCAAAGCAAAGACTCTTGTCTTTGTATTATTCTGGTATCTGATGTGGACATATTTATTTATGGTCAGAACAAACTCATATCAATTCTCTCTGTTATTTACTGCTAGTTATCTGTTTTCCTTTTAAACTTACTTGGACTTACCTACTTTGATTTTGTTGCACTAGAGTACCCAAAAAATTGTATGAAATCTTTTCTCTTACATTTTGCAGATGGTTCAAGATAAAATGCCATTACTTTTTCCTTTTCAAAGTCGTCAACTAGGTTGATTCTACTGATACTTTGGATGATTGTAGTTGACTTTGTTTTTGTTCTATCAGGCACTATTTTTGCTTATGGCGTGACCAGCAGTGGCAAGACTCATACTATGCATGTGAGACCTATGTCTTTGCTTAATTTAAATTCTTAGGATGTATCCTTGTTTTGATTTTTTTACCACAGAAAAGTCCTTTTTGATCAGTATTTCACAAATTTCCAGTCAGTCAAGTTGCATTCTAGGTTTTTTTTTTTTTTTTTTTTTTTTTTTTTTTTTTTTTTTTTTTTGGGGTAGGTATAGAAGAGGACACCCTACCAAACCGGAATCTCTCATAGGTCAACCCGGGTTAGCAGGCAAGACTCCTTACAAGTTGGGGGTGGGGAAGGGTAAGGGAACCCCCACTCCCAATCAATCCCACAACCATGAGGTTCTGAGAGACGATCCATGCCACTAGACCAGGTGTTACTTGGTGATCAAGTTGCATTCTAGATGCTTTTGCATTTTTGCTGAATTGTCATATGTTCAGGTTTTTGCCACCGATAATTTTTCTTGTTGTGTCTTTCATTAGTGTATTCTTCTACGAGGCACTTAAATTTGATCTACATCATACAATGCTGATCAATCTATTATGTCTTTTGTGAAACTTGACATTGTTCCTTAACCTACAACTTTCCTACTCCGGATTAGTGTCTCTTTGGCCAGAATCAATTAACTGACCACGCCACACTGTCTTAACTAAAATCTTGCCAGCTGCTAAGCCTTTTTGTTGCATTGCCACATGAGAAATGATAGCTTCTGGAGGCCTCTATTAATTCCACCTGGCATTCTAGATAGTTTTTCGTAAGACTTTGATAATAGGGTTGGACTTGTATCATTTCTAGCAGCCTAGCTGAATTTATTGATATTGTGTTCATTTTTCTCAATTAAATGGAAATTAATCTTGATAAATTGCTTTCTTAAATTTTTTTAATTGTGCTAACTTGATTTAGGACTTGCTCGCTTCACCTTGTTTCAAAAAATTGTTTCTTATTATTGTTAGAATTAAATCAGATCAAACCTGAAAATTCAGACCAGCTTGGATTAAAATTTCTTATTTTTTGTTTACTCATTACTAATTTTTTTATTTTTTTTTATTTTTTATTTCTTACTAATTTTTTTTCTTATACATTATTTCTTTTTTTTCTTATACATTAGTACTTTTTGTGTTTCTTTTTGATGTTCCTATTTAGAATCCTACAACCATTCACAATTTAAAGGAATCTTATAATTATCACCAAAAAAAAAAAAAAAAAAGAAGAAAACATAGCAATGTGTGGTCTTGTTAATTCGTCTCAATAAATGCTTTAAGAATATCAAAATTTATAACTTTTACTAATACATCATTAGAGATATTAATGGTCAAAGATGTAATTTGACAAACATGCATAATCAAATTGGGAACATATAAAAATAGAATAAAAATATAGGGGATGTATAATTATTGTGAAAGTTTTGTTGGACAATGACATCTAATTAGACCATACCAAACCAAATTTAGACTAGGACAGATTAAATCTTATTCAGATCATAATACCCTATTACAGATGAAGAGAATAATTTCTTATAATCTCCTGTAAAAGGCATTTAGTGGAGCTGTATGGTTTATTGGGTGCTTTATACTATGTATTTTTTTATGCTTTGACTATACTAATTTTTATGATTCATTTTAATGGCAGGGAGATCAGAGATCCCCTGGAATCATACCTTTGGCTGTGAAGGATGCTTTTAGTATTATCCAAGAGGTTCCATCCATTCCCCTTTGTAAAGAGTTGCAGTATTATATAGGCTGTCTTAAGGTTATTTTGAGAATTTTCTGACACTTACATATATGTTCCAGACTCCCAGCCGGGAATTTCTTCTCCGCGTGTCATATATTGAGATATATAATGAGGTATGTATTTCTCTTGATTCTTCACTTCATTCTACTAGTCATTGAAAGATGCATATCAGATTTATTATTCTAACATAATTCTGTATCACACTGTCGTGACTTTTCCTTGCTTTCTCAGACTTGTTACATTCATACGTTTAGCTATAAATGAAGTAGTTCGTTTCGTTTCTTTAAAATGCTTACTATAGCAAATAGATTTATCACATTATTTGGTTTGCTTTCTCCTTGTTAATATTCTATTTCTCTTTATCTAGGTTGTAAATGATCTGTTGAATCCTGCCGGACAAAATCTAAGAATCAGAGAGGACCATCAGGTACTTTCTTTTGAGGGTTTCATGCTTGCCTCAGTAACTCTCTGCTCATAGTTCTGTTTGTCGCTACTAGTAAATTAGATATATAAAAAAAGAAAGACTTGCTAGTAGTGATAAATCAACAGGCACTTCTGTACTTGCCTTGATGATCCATCCCTGTAATTTAGTGTGTGTGTGTGTTTTCCAACAACCACAATCTAGTAAGTCTCTTTCCAGATTGAAGCCTTACCTTGCAGAAATGGAGAGTTTTGACAACTTTGGTCTACATAAACCTGCAACTGCAGGCTATTAGGTCTTACAATCAGCCAATCAGGCACTTTTATTGAGGTTAGGTTGGCCTTATCAGACCTTTTTATCATGCTATGTGAATTTTGGTTATATAAGTTCCTATACTATCATTTTTATGAAATCACACTAGGGAAAATTGTTTATTGAAAAATATCATTATCATTGATTTCTTTACTCTATATAATTGAATATTGTATAGTACATTTGTACTTTTATCTTGCACCCCTTATGATAATAGAAATATCCAAGTTAGAGTTCCTCCTCCTTACATGCCTTACTGGTGCATTTTTACTATCATTGTTTTTTTAACTTCAATGGATATGCAATATATAGGGTTGCAACTTGCAAGTCACCATTCATCTAAATATAATATACTGGTAGTCTGGAAGCCAAATTTTGCATTGAAAAAGGTCATAAAGAGTTAGTTTGAAAGTTGCTGGGTTATCTTACAATTGATGCACTTACTCTACATTTATCTGTGATGTGAGACGGTCTGTTTCCTTAATTGGTTCCATAAGCCTTCCAGTCTAGGTTTGTAGAAAATGTGGGTCCAGCGATTAATATCCTTTGCTAATTCTCTTGAATATCGAATATATTTCTTTCATTTATTTGTACAGCTATCATCCATAATCTAGGGCTCCAAAAGTTTCCTTAATGGTATTTTCACGTGTAGGAGTATTTATATCACTCATACAACAGAATTTGGAATTAAGTGAAAGAAAATGCTAAAGAAGTGAGATTGTGTTTCTACAACTTTCCACCCCCTGAAATTTGTTAGATATGTAATTTTATAGTCTCAAGCATTAAAATTTACTGCTTGTTTGGAGGTTGCTATGTAACATTCTTTTTCATTGATTATTGGCCATAAGATTTAAAAAAAGACGACTGCAGGGAGTCTTTGTCGAAGGAGTAAAGGAGGAGGTGGTTCTGTCCCCGGCGCATGCATTGTCATTGATCGCTGCTGGTGAAGGTATATTTGGAACTAATTCTTTATGTGTTTCATGCTTGCACCTGTATAGAAAGCCTGTCTTATACAATTTTCATGTATCAGGTTTATAACATACAGTGTTCAATATTTTTGAAATTTAGAAAATGTGATATCTTCTCTTGTGTTCAGTTAGAATTGTATGAATTAACTGACTTTGTAGGTACTAGTTGATTAGCAACTTAATCATTAGCTTTGCAACTGTTTCTAAAACTATATAGCTATTCATCTCGGAAAATTTAACTCTTTTATTTTTATTTTTTATTTTTTATATTAGAAGCTTATTTCAGTTTGTTGAGAAAGCTTAATGCTTGATTTAATTTTTTGAGAAAGCTTAAGCTTACTTGACAAAAGTCATCTCCAGCTTGATCATGAATCTCTTCGACAATGTGACCCGTTTTTGAAAGCTTAGTACCTTTAAGCACTAATTGTGAATAATTAATATAATCAACATTATTTGGTTTGAAACTTCTAACCTCTCTTTGTACACAAGTGACACTCATCTCTAAGTTTTAGTATATTCAATAATTCCCTCAATTTTTTTTATTTATTCAAAATGTTATATTGGCCTACTTTCTACTCTAGTATGCTTCAAAAACATAAGAATCATAGAGGAGAATATGGTGAGTTGGTGACAAGGCATAAGGGCTGAAGGGATGTAGCTCTTCACCTCCTCCCTTCTATCCTGGGTGCTGGGGTAAAAATCAAAAGTGGCCAAGTGGACAAAATTCCTCTTAGCGTTTTAGTTTTGGGTAATGGACTAATGGCCTCTTGTTCTGCTCTTCTTTATGAGTAATGCTTATTTCAGTTTCATCATTGTTTTCTACTCCTACTCTTTTGATGATACTAGGTCTAAGATAAAAACTCCCTTTTATAACTGAATTCTACATACATCGGGTCTCCTAACTCTATCATTGGAGGATGCCTTAAATTCACAGGCATTGTGATAACTTTGATGTTGCTGGGGAATTTTGTTTTTGTGCTCAGTATGGAGTATCTCTTCTGTTGGAAGTTGCTAGGGTTGCTTACAGGATTCCATTTGCGAAATAGGGCGGGCTAGGCTGTAGAGGACATCTTCTAGTAAGAGTCCGTCTTCCCATGCCTTTCGGAAGTTCTTTTTCCGGAGTCTGAGTAGGGCTAGTGTATCTCCATTTGTTATTTGTTTTTGGGATGATAACTCTAAGATATAGGAGAATTATGACCCTGGACAACAATGTCCCTCAAGGATAGCCCTTGACCTTTTTTTTGATATCAAGCGACATTGTTTGACTGTTTTATTTCTCTGTGTGGGTGTTAGGAGAATTTGTATACATTATATGTTGTCCTGTTTACTTTTCTCTATCTACATTTTCCCCAGCTCAATGTAATTACATATTCTCTCTAAAAACAACATAGTATGAAATTGAAAAGAGGAGAGCCTAATCTCAAGGGAAGAAGAGCTGAAGAAGAGAGGATGAAAGGGTGAGTGATGTATAGGTCAGGAGAGAGAGAGAGTACTGTAAATGAAAAGGCAAAATTGAATATGATATTCCTGGGATTAAAATTTAGGCTCTAGTAGATGAAGATAATCCATCGTATGATTGATGAATAAATTTGAAGTTGATTGCTATGATGGTGTATACTCTGATCTTATTTTATGAGACCTTGTTATCTTTTGTTTCATGAATTCTTCTTTTGGTGACAGAACATAGACATGTTGGCTCCACCAATTTCAATCTTCTTAGCAGCAGAAGTCATACAATATTTACCTTGGTAAGTTGCTGCTACCTGTTTCTATTAATGAACTAGTTAATAATGGTATGGAACTTGGAGTGCTGAATCAGACATCTTACATCTTGGGATCCTTAACCTACTGAATTATCTAATGCTATGGTAGAAGATTAGACTATTGCTACTATCTTTACATACTCGTGGAAGCTGCCATGCATTGCCTAATTTATGGTATCTTCCTATCAAGGAATAACCTATATTTCTCAGATGATTTACCTGTGCATAATTCGTTGCAATAAAAGTTGAAAAAGATAAACTGCCGTGTCTTGATTTACACCACTTGTTCATTTTCTTTTATCTACAAGTATGTTTAATTGGGTTTTTTTTTTTTTTTTTTTTTTTTTTTTTTTTTTTTTTTTTTTTTTTTGGTATATTTAAATCAGACTATTGAGAGCAGTCCTTGTGGTGAAAACAGTGAAGGAGAAGCTGTTAATCTTTCCCAGTTGGTATGTATCTTTGTTTCACACACTTCTTGATTCTGTGACAACTTACTAATTGGTTCTGGAATTCTACCTGTTCCCTTTTTTGTAAACTGAAGCATATGTTGAAGACTTATAGATCTGTTTTTATCTAACTTATGCATGCAGCATCTCATCGATCTGGCAGGTTCTGAGAGCTCTAAAGCCGAGACCACTGGTGTTCGACGTAAGGAAGGAGCTTATATAAATAAAAGCCTGCTGACTCTTGGAACAGTGAGGATCCTGTCATTGTTTATTCTCTATATACATCATGTTTTTTTTATTTTATTTTATTTTTTATTTTCTATTTTTCAAATAGCTCTATACATCATGGTTGCTTGTGTTAAAAAAGAGTAAAATTGCTCATCTTGAAAAATCTCTTTTGTGGAAATGCATAAAGTTTTGCTGCAATATCGCTTTTTGATGAGATTCTACATTATGATAACTTCTGAATAAGATTTTAGGATCAGGATTAAGGATTACTGAGTGCTCAAACCATAGTATTGAAAGATAGAATGAAGGTGCTCAAAGTAATTTAAGGTTTTTGGCCAAATCAGGTCAAAATGGAAGACACTCTTGAGGAGATAGATTTTATATAAAGGATGAAAAATATTTAATAGGTTTTTGGATAAAAGAGGACATTTTTTGTGTAGAATTTTAATGGGGCTCTGGTGAACATGACAGTGCCAGAAGATGAAGGCTTAAAGAGAGTAATATTGGTCAATCTTGTTTTTCAAGGTGATGAGCTGCGCGAGAGACATAGTTGAGGAACTAGAGGTGAATAAGGGTATGAGGCTGAGATCATGAGAGATTAAGTGGCAATTGCTTTGGTATTGCTAATATCTACTGGAGTTTATCTTTAGATGATCTGGTTGAGCACACTCTGATACACGTTGGAGCCCCATTTTTCATGTGGATAACAAATAGGCTAGTGAACTTTTCCTGCACAGATTAGGGGAGCAATCTTTGGTATGAGTTTAGGACATAGCCCTCACTGATGATTTTTAAAGCCATTTTAAGAAATTAGGAATGGCAGAGTGCTGTTAAAAGCTCTTCTTATGGTGTTTAGTGATTTTTTTAATTTATTTTATATATTTTTTAACTGACTAGAATAATAAGAATTTTTTCCCCTTCCTAAGAATGATTGATTACAGAGAGGGAGAAAACTTTTCCAATAGGTGTAAATTAACATTCCCAAGGTGGAGGCTTTATTTTTCTTTCCCCATTATCCTTTGTTATGTTAAGGAGTGGAAAACAATTTTCCCATTGGTGAAAAATTAACTTTCCCATGGTGGAACACATTTTTCTTTTGTAAGGAAGGAGTGCCACTTGTTCCACTCTACTTCCTTACAACTCTTTTCCCCTCTTCCCATTTATTCTCTCCTTTTCACTTCCATTTCGTTGTTCTCTATTACTTTTCTTGTAAGGAAACTTGAGAAAACTATTTTACGACTGTTTTCTTGTGAAAAGTATTTTATATGGAAAACTATTTTTCATTGAAAATGTTTTCCGTCGAATCAAATGGAGCCTTAATAAGTTGAGACTTGAGATGCCCAAGATAAAGAGTTGGAGGATATTGGTTGGCCTTTCTTGATTTTTGTGCTGTTCTTATCTGTATAATTCTATTAGCTTGTGCAAATCCCAGCAAGAAGATATAGAATTTGTATGTAATCGTTTTAATGAAGATTAATATTTTCACAACAATATGCCTGGCCTACTAATGTGCCTTCAATAGCCGTGGAGTTTGGTCCTTGTTTCTTACTACATTGTGAGGTGACTAGTGGTGTTAGGGGGGGGGGGGGGGAGATTTTCTGCTGTGCTTCTTTACTGTGAAAGTGTGAATTTCTGATAGTGTTCTGTGGAGTGAAATCACCATACCTTTTGTAAGTGGTAATTGGGCAATGGTGGAGGTTTTGATTAATTTTAGCCTCTACCTGGTTTGTTGCATTATGTACTTTTACCATTTATAATAATTTTTTTTTATTGTTTTTTTATATGTTTGATGACTGCAGGAAAAAAAGCCTTACTGTCATACCATCATTGGTTTCTCATTGTTCATCCTTTAGAAATTTCTGTATCTAATGTTGCTATCTGCTGAATCTTCCTAATTGTTGGTTACTGATGATAAAAACAGGTCATATCAAAACTAACTGAAGGCAGGTCTACACATATACCATACAGGGATTCCAAATTGACTAGGCTTCTTCAATCTTCATTGAGTGGTCATGGGCGTGTTTCGGTAAGTTTGAGGTTCAATCATCAATTGATGAATCTGAGCTTTGGGTTGTAGGAAGTTATCATATTTTTCTGACTGATGTGAATTAATACTCTGGTTTATATGTGCAGCTCATTTGCACTGTAACTCCTGCATCAAGTAATACAGAGGAAACACATAACACTTTGAAGTTTGCACATCGTGCAAAATGTATTGAAATCCAAGCTGCACAAAATAAGGTATATTTTTCTGTATCTGAATTTTGAAATGTATTGTACTGAAGCTGCTGACACATATCAACCATGAGCAGATAATTGATGAGAAGTCACTTATAAAGAAGTATCAGAGTGAGATTCGCTTGCTAAAGGAAGAATTGGAACAATTGAAGAAAGGCATTCTCATTGTTCCTCAACTTAAAGTTGGTGGAGAAGATATTGTATTATTAAAACAGAAGGTATGCATATCTTTGTGAAAGGGCTATTTTATTGCCACATACTATCAAACGTCGTCTTGCATTGGACATTTTGAAACTCATTGCAGTAAATGATCCATTTTACTGTGTTTATTTGTCCAAGTAGCTCTATTCTTATTTCTAGCCATGTAATGTTTGAGTTAATTGTATGTATTTTTCAATTTGAAATCTGCAGTTTTAGTTAGAAAGTCTTTCTCCCCAGTGAAATGTGTTTTAATGCTTTCATGAACATGCTAACTTTTATTTTATTTTTATCTTAGAGGCTGATGTAGTAGCTAGTTAACCAATAATGAGACATTGCAGAAAAAAGAGGACGAAGACAGGAGAGAACAGGTGTCTTCATAAGTAGTTCAAATCACACATTCAAATTTGATGATCACTAGCGTTAGAAACCGCTTTTAAAACTGTCTTGGGCTAGATAGATGCTAAGTACAATATCGATTCCTAAACAACACTGGTGGGTGGGGAAAAGGGTGGACTTCTGATTATATCTTGTAGTGCAATTCAACCCAGATACAATCTTTCTGAGTTTTTTCTTACTTGAAACAGATTACTATGTTGAGGGTATTAAAAATCGTGGGCAATGATAAAGGTTTCACTTTAAAGTTTTTTAAAAAACTAGAAATTATCTGATGGTAAAGGAAGGAAAAATGTCTGGGATACACTGATACAGTTGGCTTGTTGGGTAATCTGTCATGATGCATTTGCAGATCAGCAATGCAATCTTCGATAGGATTAAATGGGGAGGATGACTCAATTCAAAGTTCCACTTCCTTGTCTATCCTGTGGTTTTCTATTTTTTTTTTTAATTTATTTATTTGGTCAGAAAAACAATGATAGGATCTTTTGGAATCGGAATAGGCCCTCAACACTAGAATCTTGAAAGACAAAGTAGTCCAATTTTTTTTTAACTTGTCCTATTGGAGTTTTCGTGGGATATTAAAGCTTGGTTGGTATACTTTATTTTTTCCTATTAATCTACTTAGAGGACTTCTGGTCCCCTGCTGCTGTAACGTCTTTGCTGTTCAACCAATTATTTGTTATAAAATTTATATACAATATACGCATCGGTTTTAAAGCCTAAAGGTGCTTTTATCTTGTGCTGCTTTCTGATTAATTCATCTAGATGCATTAGCTAATTCATTTTCTGTTATGGTCTGTAAAGCTAGAGGATGGCCAGGTCAAGCTCCAATCACGGCTGGAAGAAGAGGAAGAAGCTAAAGCAGCTCTCTTATCTAGAATACAACGGCTGACAAAATTGATATTGGTGTCCACTAAATCTTCACAGTCATCAAGGTTTTCACACCGTCCTGGTCCAAGAAGAAGGCATTCCTTTGGAGAAGAAGAAGTGCAGCTTCCCTTTTCCTTTTCTTTGTCCATTTATTTCAGTAGCATGTGATACCTCAGCATAGATTGAGTCAGATGTGTATAATTTTCAAATCTTAGTTAAAAAAATGCTTCTATTACTTTATGGTAACATTTTCAATGATTTGCAGCTTGCTTATCTTCCACACAAGAGACGGGATTTGATTCTGGATGATGAGAACATTGACTTGTACATTGCGCATGATGGAACTGCCGAGAATCCAGATGACATCTCTAAGGAGAAGAAGTCTCGAAAAAATGGACTTTTAAACTGGCTAAAGATTAGGGTAAGTGCAATTCCTTTTGACGGAATATATCTGTAATAACTTAATGTTCTTATTCTCATATTGTATATGAATTTGACGCATGAAACTATTTTGGGGTACTGGAGTATCGTAATGCATGTATAAGGTGCGATTTGCACCAATAAAATGCTTAGAGCTGTTGGTACGAACATATATCCAATAGTGCCACATGCAAATAATAGATTCTTGTTAGTACATGTGTGCTCACATACCTGCTAAGAAAATGGTGCTCACATGGGCATTGTGAAAGGAGGACATTACAAGCTCTAGAATGATCTGCTGTAAAATGTTTTGGGCTATGGCTTTTGGCATGTTCTCATCATTAGATACACAACTTAGATAAAACATGGCATTTGCATTTATAGGCTCACAGCATATAAATGTGTGATTTATGCATTTTATTGCTGTGACTTGCCCTGTCTTCTCGGTCCACCAGTTTTGAGTTACTATTTAGGTTATTAAAGAGCTACTAAGATTTGAAATTATAATGTGGAAGGTCTTCTAAAGGGATGAAGCGCCCTTCTATTTCAAATCAAGCATTAACTTTAAAAAGTAGAATTTGTAGGCCTTGTTGCCTTTAATGATGTTAATTTGAAGGCATCATTTATTCTTGTTGTTTTCTCTTGTACTTTTTTTTTTAAATCCAGAAAAAAGATGGTAGTTTGGGTGCTGGCAGTGATAAGTCAAGTGTGGTGAAATCAAATAGTACGCCTTCAACCCCACAGGCAGACAGTGTTAATCTAAATGCAGAATCCCGACTTTCCCAGTCTCTGCTTACCGAAAGGACTAATTCTGCGGAGCTTTCACCTGTAGCTAGACATGATAGAGAAACCCCTGAGGATTTTTCTGGACAGGGGACACCTCTGGTAAGTATTTTTTCTTTTGATCCATAAGTTTGTCCAACATAAATGGAATTTATGTTTGTACGTTTCTACTCAAGGGGCATAGATTAGGCATAACAAGTTACCTTGGGCTGTCACTTGTGTCACCCTGGGGGGGGGGTGCCTGCAGTGATAAGTCAAGTGTGGTGAAATCAAATGCCTTCTCGTAGTAATACTGTTGTGGAAAATGTAGCTTTGTTGTAGATACATGTTTGCATATCATAGCTTTTGTCTGAAGGTTCATTACCATTGTGTCAGACAAGTACAAAATCAATCGATCAGATTGATCTTCTCAGGGAGCAGAAGAAGATTTTGTCTGGTGAGGTTGCACTTCATTCAAGTGCTTTGAAACGTTTGTCCGAAGAAGCAGCAAAAAATCCTAAGGAGCAGATCCATGTAAGATGCTTGTAAAGTTTAGTGGCTCTGATCTGCTTTTTATCAAATGCCGTGACATTGTTATGTTTGTTTATATTTCAGATGGAGATGAGGAAATTAAGAGAAGAAATCAGAGCTAAAAATGAACAAATAGCGTCCCTCGAGAAGCAAATTGCTGATACTGTGGCTGCCAACTATGACAAGATGGACAATTCTGAGATGTCACAAGTAAGTGGTGTAATTTTTCTCAATCCATGAGGACCTCAAGTTTAGATTTTGATAGCTGAGCCATCAATTTTCCTCTCTTTTTTGGGTGGTCTCCAGACTGTTGCAGAACTTGTGAGCCAATTGAACGAGAAGTCGTTTGAACTCGAGGTGTGTTTTTGTTTGTTTTTTTATTTTTTATTTTTTATATATTTGTCATGTTTTTCTTTTATTGTTGTGTTTGAGAGTAAAATTTCCTTTGACAGAGGTGCAACCAACTCCTCTAGCCATCATGTTATGATGTAAAATAAAGTAATTAGAGAGAATGTGTTTTTATAAAATGCTTCTAGAGTAATACTATATCTCAAAAACTTCTTTTTTCTTTGTTATTACTACCTCCATTTAGAAACATTTGCACTTTATAGTTTTTCTGCACTATTCATACATCTACTTTGACTTTGCCTTTTTTCACATTGGATTATCTCAATGTATGTATTCAAAATATCAACATTTAAAATTAATTACTAATATATAATTAAAGTTATTAATGGTTAGAGTTGTGCGTTGGCAAACGTGAAAGCCAAATCGGTGCAACTATTTCTATACGGAGGAAGTTTTAGACTCTAGTCAATTTTATAGCCACGATGATGCTTGTGTATGGATTCTACGGATAGCTCTCTGTTAGTGCCTCAAACTATAGCAATTTTATTTTGGGTCAACTTTCTCCTGATTGAAAATTGGCTTTCAAAGTATGAACTTGGATGAAAAATAATAAAGCAATGACTGCAGAGTGAGTAGAATTTCCATGAGATGAAATCAATTTCATAAAAAACCTTGGATTTGGAGAGAAGAGAGAACCTTTTTCAACAAACAGCATATATCTATTTCTCTTAATGCTCTTTGTCAGCCAACATTGTAACTGGATACGATATTGTTCTTCAAATTTAAAGGGATTTTTTAAAAAAGCTGGATGCTGCAATTATGTGTGCTTTTAACGAGGAGTCACTTTGGTTCATTTAGCCGACCCCACTTATGGAATCAAGGCTTTGATTGATTGATTGATTTAACGAGGAGTCACTTGAATTTTATGGTGGGTAGTATAACTTCTGGCTAGGGCTTTTACAAACAATTTTTTCACATATATACACATCAAGACTGCTTGTATTTCCCCTTAAACCTTGATCTCCTGTGTGAATTAAGGCATAAGTTGCTGCTTATAAGTTAGCAGTCTAGTGGCCAACTGTAAATGTATTTTGGTGCCAATTTTCTGCCAGCTCTGTTCATATATATACTTCCTCTGCTTTTTTTATATTTGCAACACACCTTCTTAGCACGCTGTTGAGAAAGTGATTAGACTAGGTAAATGAAGGATTTAAACTACTACCTCCGTTAACAGTTAGTTGCAACGATTTGACATAAAGTAGAGAGGAAAAATGTCCCATCGTTGCAACTAACTGTTAACGGAGGTAGTATAAAATTTTAACAGTAGCAACTGGCTACTAAGCACTTTCTTCTTATTGGTGGTAAATTTTTGTCAATAACAATAAATTTCTTAAAGTGCGTGCCTAAGTGGTGGGTTGTAAGTAAATATATACGGAGGAAGTATATATATTTATTTATTCATCTATTCTATTTTTTCATTTTCGCATTTGGTTTTTGCTTATAGTTTGAAGAAGTTTAGATGCCTTTCTGAAAACTATTAGTCCGTTTTACTTTTCTTTTCTGTATTCAGTTTTTCTTTCTCTACTTGGTTGTTTTTCTTCTCCTCTCAAATTCTTTTCATAATATTATTTCTATGTTCAAGGTTTTGCTGTAGCATATGTTTGGGTGTAAATAGTATCCTGTTCTTTCTTGTAGGTTAAGATTGCAGATAATCGGATAATCCAAGAACAGTTGGACCAGAAGGTACAAAAGTAACAATTGGCTCCTGCTAGTTACTCTATTTATTCTGTGTATCTGAATCCCTTTTCTAACTTCCATATATGCTGCCTAGCAGATTGGTGAAGTTGAAACATTACAGGGAGAGATTAATTCCTTGAAGCAGCAACTTTCTGAGGCCTTGGAATCAAGAAATGTGAACCAAACATTCAGTAATCCGCAGCAGCATGGTAGAATGCAATCCATATCCGAGGGAGTTGAGATGAAGAAGGAAAATAGATCTTTGGTTAATACGAATGAAAAATTGCTATTGCGTGCCCAGGTTTGCCACTCCCTTTATCTCATGGTATTTATTATGCCTCAAAAAAAGAAGTATATCTTGTGAATAAATATGTACTTGCCATCATTAGGAAGGTTCAGTTTCATAGTACAGCATAGTGTTCCTATTTTAATTCATGTGTTCATCTCATGTTCCTTTAATAGACCACTGAGATTGAAGAACTGAAGCAGAAATTGGCTGAACTAACTGAGACAAAGGACCAGCTGGAGCAACGAAATAAGAAGTTGGCGGAGGAGAGTTCATATGCCAAAGGGTTGGCTTCTGCTGCAGCTGTTGAATTAAAGGCGTTGTCGGAGGAGGTCTTCAAGTTGATGAATGAAAATGAAAAGCTTTCTACGGAGATAACAGCTTTAAAGAATGCCCCCACTCAGCGTAGATCAGTTGTAGCATCAAGAAATGGAAGGAGAGAGAGTCAGGTGAAACGCCAAGACCAAGGCCTGAGCACCTCAGAACTTAAGAAGGAGTTGGTCGTTAGCAAAGAGCGAGAGCTTGCATATGAATCTGCCCTTCAAGAAAGGGATCAAAGAGAGGCAGAACTCCAAAGAAAAGTGGAAGAATCCAAACAACGAGAAGCATACTTGGAGAATGAACTTGCAAACATGTGGGTTCTTGTGGCTAAGCTAAAGAAATCACAAGGAGTCGAATCTGATATCTCCGACTCTGCAAGCCAGAGAACGGACAATTGGTAATCTGACAAATGCTAGATTTGTATTGGAATGTACAAAAGTTGGGGGAGGGAGTTGTAAATTGAAAAAAAAAATGTGGAACTTTGGTGGTTAGTATCAGGGTTCTCTAACAAATTCAGATTGATTTTGCGATGAGTGCTGATGCGTGAGCTTTTTGTGTTATTGATACCCTGATTCTGATGTAATTAATGCCAATCAAGTTCCTTTTTGGCTAATTTTCCCATTCGTTGAGTCCTGTTGTGCTTCCTGTCGTACCGAGTCTTCTCATGGGCTCTATTGATGCTTACTGTTCTTCAAGCAAACTTCCGCTATGAATTAACCATTTACAGGGCAGAGTTTCTGATCAATGATTTTCAAAACATCAGTGGCTCAGTGCCCCATCTAAACAGACTTGAATTATTAGGCAGTCTAGGAGACACCGTTCCAAGCCGATAACCAGCAGTCATTTTCATTATATAATCACCAGTTACACCACCTAATCAGCAGTAACTGATTAGGCAAGGGGGGTCTTAGGCCTGTTGGCCTTGCAGGCTCATACTAACAAGTTAGAACTTAACATAACACACCTAGGGGTGTCAATTCGGGTAAAGAGTTTGGGTTTGGGTTGGGTTTATCAGTTTTGGGTTATAACGGGTTGAAATAATTAGCGGGTCGGTTTTGAAAATCATCATGTCAGTTCGGTTTGGTTTTTTTTTTTTTTTTTTTTTTTTTAATGCGGTTTCTATTCAAGTCCGGTCTTAATCGGGTCGGGTTGTAGTTGGTTCGGATCATAATCAGTTTGGGTTGAACCGGGTCGGTTTGAAAACGGGTTTAGCCAGTTTAAAGTGGGTTTCGGTTCAAAACAGTTCGAATCCTAATCGGGTCGGGTTGTAATAGGTTCGGGTCATAATCAGTTTGGGTTAAACTGGGTTGGTTTAAAAATGGGTTTCGGTTCAAAGCAGATCAGGTGAAATCGGGTCCTGTCATTATCGGGGTTCAGGTCATAATTAGTTTGGATTGAACTTGGTCGGTTTGAAAATGGGTTGACGTAATTTAAAGCGGGTTTCAGTCCAAATCATATTGGGTTAAAATCGAGTCGGATCGTTATCGAACCGAGTTAGTTAGATAATGGGTAGGAACGGGTCATGTTATAATCAAGTTAAGTCATAAATAAGTTAGGTTTATTGAGTAATGGGTTGAAAAGGATCAGATCATAAACATATTGGGTTACGGGTTGTAAACGACTCAGTCATAACAGGTTACCGGTCGCAAACAGTTCGGTCTCAATGGGTTACGGGTCGTAAACAGTTTGGTCTCAACGGGTTATGGGTTGGAAACGGTTCAGTCACAACGGGTTACGGGTTATAAATGGTTCGATCACAACGGGTTACGGGTTGTACCGGTTCAGATTTATCGGGTTTTTGCCGGGTTTAAACGGTTTTCGGTTTAAAATGGGTCGGGTGACTATCGGGTTTAGACCTTATAGGTTTGGGTTGTTGTCAGATTCGAGTTATAATGGTTTGGCTTGATACAGGTCGGGTTAGTAACGGTTCGCACAAATTCGGTTAAGCTTAGTTTCGGGTTAGAAGAAATTGGTTCGGGTCGATTTTCGGTTTCCAAAAAATGGGTTTTACATGGTTCAATTCCTTTTCAGATCGATTCGAAACAATCGGGTTTAACGGTTCGAGTTAGAAACTGACAGCTCTAAACACACGGTATCAAATATCAAGTTTCAAATGTATGCTGTCATGGTATGGATTGGTATCATTTCTGTTTCTAATTCTAACCAAATATTGTATGTATAATCTATTTATGCATAATTTGGATTGCACCAGAATAAGTTTGCACTGCTTTAAAAAGAAAAATAAAATCCTCAACTTTTTACATTTTTGAATAAAAAACTAGATAAAAGCCCATCCAATGCACGAATTTTTAATACATAAATCTGAAAAAAAATATTCCGTATATTTCTTAGTTAGATTCTAAGTTACTTTAAATTTATTTGATTTATTCTACTATTTAACGGTTTCAGATAAAAAAAAAATTAAATTCTATTGTCTATTCAAAAAAGTCTAAGGTTTAATTTTTTTGATGTAATTTATGATGCGACCTTATTCGTCATTGCTAGTTATGTGTTAATTTTTATTAAAATAAATTAATTTTAAATATGTTAGGTCATTCGTAGTTTTAATTCTAAAATTAAGTACAAATCTCTTTTATTAAACAAGCCCTTGTTGTTTGATAAAATATAATACCGATATCAATTATTATCGATAAGATTAGTTTTTAAATATGATTTTTTATGGTTAATATTATTCAAGTTAATTTTTTAAAATTCATAATCTTACTTGATATTTTTTTTAAAAATCATACTCTTATGGGGAGCTCTAATTTTTTTTTTTTTAAAATTAAAATCTTACGCATTCTAAAATCTTAGGGAAAAATCCCCCTCTATTAGATTTTTATCAACAAACCCTTTTTTTCTTAATTTATTTATATACTCCCTCGGTCCCTCCGTTTACTTTGTTTCATCATTGTCAAAGTAGATCTACTATATGTTTCCAAAAAAAAAAAAAAAAAAATAATTCCACTGTATTAATTCTACAAAGTCTACTGTATCAATTTACAAATTCAAAACCAAACGACATTTTGATATCTTATTAACTTCCTCAGTCATAAATTCATAATACTAGACACGGCAGCGACTACAATCGCCGGTAAAAAAAAGCAGACGGAGGCGCGCATAACCAAAGTTGTCTTACTCCAATTCCATGAGTATGTTCCGGTGGTAAACACGGAGTAGAATAATGGCGATGTTAGCATTTCAACGAGCCACGAGAAACATCCACATCCCCGCTGCAGATGCACCTCGCCTTACCAGATTCTCTCTCCGCCCACCTAATTATGTAAGCAATTTATTTTTGGTGCTTCATTTCTTAACTTTAAGTTTCTAATTTCAATTTTTTTGATATTTGTTTCAATCAATCGCCTAATTTGCTCGATTTCGCCGTTTTCTTGCTAATTTTAGTTGAAATTTGAATCAAAATAGCATGTCCGTCGTATATTACATTGGTTCTGCTCCATTAGTCCTGTAGTTCTATATACTGTACTCTTTTGAATTTACAATTTGTTTTCTTGTGTGTTTTTAAATTTCGTATGTACTGCCTGTTTGATCAGTGGTAAATCGTAATGACAATGGATTCGTACATAAGTTTGTATGAATCAATGCCGATTTCCATGTAATTCATCCCAAATTATCTCTAATTCTTAGCAAATGTTTCGTATCATCAGTTACCATTGGGGTTGTAATGGACATTCATAAAGAAAAGAACAAGTACAGGAATGATATTGCATGACTGACATTAGAATGGTATTTTGCTTGCCAAATTAAACTTAATTCATTCCCAAAACCCACTCCGGTTTAATATAAGCTTAACAATTGTTTTTTTATTGGTCAAAGTTGGTAAATTTTGATTGTATTTTATTGCAAATATGCATAATGATATGGATATTGTATGAGGTATTGTTAGATTCGTTTCATTTCATTATTTTAAAATGTCAACTTCTTATTTGTATAAATGCATAGCTATTTATATAATTTGTCAAATTCTTTTCTTGGAAACCGTGCTTAATGCTCAAGGTTGAATAGGGATGGAGGGAGTAGCTTGAGTCTCTTTAACATTGCAGTACTAAGAATGAAGATGGAATACTTTTGTGTCAGATTGAGTGGGATAAGGATGCTGCAGCTATGATGTATGATCTGGTCTAGTGGTAGTTTATTTCATAGGTGTGCTCTATTTTCTCTCTTGATCGAGTTTAAGATACGGAAGAGTACACGGGGTTCAGTCATTTGTTCATGGGACAATGTTTGGAAATATGAACAGACCATTCAGTTATCTTTCATGTTGACACTTGATAGTGCTTGGGATATTCATGGAGATTTCTTCGTGAGAGCATGAGACCATGGTTCAAGGGAATTAAATGAGTTTATATAGATACTTGAGGTGGGTGGTTTGTTAGGAGCTTTATAATTCAGTCTCTTTTGTGTTGCTCAATCTTATCTCTTCTGACTTTTCATATTAATCTCATTTGGAAGAATGACATAGCTCTTAAGGTGAAAATTTTTGTTTGGATGTTGGCATTTGATAGGATTGATACTAATTGAATACAACAAAAGCAGGGACTAGGTCACCAAGGTTGGATATCTCATCTATGGCTGTGTACTTGTGTAGAGTTAATACATTCAAAAGTGTATGTTTTTCTTTATTCTTAAGTGGTGTGTTATGTTTGTAGGAGGTTGTCGTGCATCAGAAATCTTGGGTTTTTCTCTTTACTATTTTTGATTGGTTGTGGATGCTCCTTGTGGGGTTTGGAGAGGTCAAGGAGAAGGGGTTGGTGTGTTGTAGTACTTTTCTGACATCTTGTGGTGTGTGTGGTTAGGGAGAATATTCAGTGCAACTTTAGGGAGCCAACTTATCTTGCAATTTTCTATGGGATTGGGTAATATATTTAACATCCTTTGAGGCTAAGGTGTTTGTGCTTTGAAGAAATCAACTGCAGAAGTGCAGAGATTTAAAAGAACTAGTTTAATTGTATATAAAGTAGAGATATAGATTCTTTTTCTCATAAAAATAAATGAAGTTTATTGATTTATTATGTTTGCTGGAATGCGTATTGGTTAGTGATTCACACTTGAGATTACTATTTTGGCAGGGAGGGGATCTAAGTTATAGTAATTGTGGTGTTGAATTTCTTTTGATTAGTTAATTATGAGGAGTAGAAATGGAATGGATTAACAACCTTGCCAAATTTTTTGCTCATGATTTTTTTTTTGTTTTTTTTTTGGACTCCGGCAAAAGATTTGATCTCACTCACCGACTCACCCAATTTGCTACTCTTCATTTTTCCATCACCCTTTGCTATAGGGTAATGTAAAAGCTCAAGCCATCCCCAACATTCCATTTTCCTTTATCTTCTGGCTTTAGATCACCTGCATCATCACCATCACATATTCACAAATTACAACTATTTACCCAGCTACAACACAAGCGCCATAACAGGAGAAGGGGGGGGGGGGAGATCCAAAAATGTGATATTTATGTTATCTTGGCTCTGCAATTAACCTGTGATGTCAGTGAGTCACTGTGCCAGATCAGCCTATCTGTGGTTGGTGATGTCGATAAGAGGGTGGAGTTGTGGCCTTCTGTTGGTTTGGGGTTTGGAGGCACTGTAGTAAGACGGGGCCGGTTGGTGAAAACATCGTAGAGAGGTAAATGGATGTCTGGGAGAGGGGAAATGAATTTTGGTGGATTATTAAAATGACTTAAACAAGGGAGCAAGATAGTGGAACGGATTTAATCCATTCAATTCTCTACTTGTCTTTGAATCTGTTGTGTTTTATTCTTCATGGATCAAACCAAATTAGTGTAATATGTAGCGCAAAACAAGGAAGGAGAGAACAGAAAAGAATGCTAAAAGCAGTTGTATCATCATGGCATTAACCTTGGTCAATAACATGGAAGGAACTAAAGCTTGAATCTGCTATAAGTTGTTAGTGCACTTAATTGATTTTGTTTTTTCTGCTGAGGTGGTGACATCTTAAAGTCCATGTATCATAACACCATTTGGGTTGTGCAATGCTTAGAAAAGTATATGCTTTTCTGTTCTGTTTTTAAACCAGATTATCATTCTGCATTAGGTTGATAGTGGGCATGCCATTATTCCTTAAGATTTTGTCTACTTCTATTTCCACCTTTGGCTAGTAGATATGTGTGAGCTTTTTTTCCCGCAATATTACCATAGCTCGGTGTACAGAACAGCTGCGTAGCTTTTGCTTGCAGTTAAGTTGCATTAACTGTTACCATAGCTCGGTGTACAGAACAGCTGCGTAGCTTTTGCTTGCAGTTAAGTTGCATTAACTGTTAGTATCTGAAATATATGTGATACAAATCATACAATGCTTATGCATATATTTGCAATCACATCTTATGCATACATTTGCAATCACCTCTTACTATAGTAACTCATAGAAAAAGTATGCAGTTTTGGGCATGATCTTGGAATGGTCACTGGATTTAGGGAAGTGGCATTTTACAGGATTTATGCTATCCCTTGTGAGTTGTGACTGTGTGACGTGGATTGAAATTTGGATAATTGTCATTGTAATTCAAGTGTTTTCAAATATTTTCTTCAATAATAAATGTCCAATGCTGGAAAAGAATAGGTAGTAACTGATATATCTATCTTGAGATTTTAAAGTATGCTTTCAATTACTTGGTGGGTGCTTCAAAACACGTGTTACATATTGGTGTATCGTGAAGAGCAAGTTTGGAATCTTTTACTGAACAACTTTTACTTGATTCTAACGGCATTTGTTTGATTTCATAATAATTCTGTTAACCTAATCTGTCCATGGCAGTAATGCAAAGTAGTTGTTTCTCTGTTGTGTTGGACATTTAAAAGGTTATTTGTGTCTTGACAACTGCATATGTATTTTATACATTGCATGTTTACTTTTTTCTACATTAGTCATTAGTCATATCACAGTATGGCTTGGGAGTTAACTTGACATTGGACGTTCTCTTTCAGGCAGAGGTGGAATTTGCTGATGGCCGTGCATTCAATTTATCAGCAGAGTTTCTGAGAGTATTTAGCCCAGCTGCAGACAGCAAGATCCGTTCCATTGGTGGGGAAAAGGTAGAATGTGTGTTAATTTTGTTTGTCTGTAGTTCCTTGGTAATCCTTTTCAATTCCCAATTGCCATTGAGGTTTTGTAGATGACTAAACTATTCGCTACACTGCAATTCCTTACTGAAACAGCATTTGGGTGTTTGTCACTTGTACGCTTCGTACATTAAGTTTGTTTCTGGGATTCTGTCAGTGTTGTAAGCAAGTATGACTAGAAAAAATATGCTAGCTAGAAACTGAGCTTGCATTTGGATTCATGTATGAGAAGTGACAGTTTGACTTTGGAGACAACTGATGGTAAAACCGGACTATTTCAACAGCCAAACGAACCCAACTAGAAATCCTCATCAGTTACAAGTGATTTTTTTTTTTTTTTTTTTTCTGTTCTCTTGCAGGTAATATTTGGCCGGCGTCATGTAGGGATCATGTCTGCAGAACCTGTAGGGAATTATGGGGTGAGGTATGTTTAGACATTTAGTATCTTAAGATGAAGTAGCATAGTTTTTTTGGCGAATAAAAGCCTATTTGTGAAGTCTTCATATTCATGCATGTTCTAAATGTGTTTATATGCTGTTCAGGTTGCTCTTTGATGATTTGCATAAAACAGGGATATACACATGGAACTATTTCTGTTACCTTGGCTCCAACAAATTTTCTCTCATGAGAAATTATATCAAAACGTTGAAGAAGCATAACCTGAGTCGAGATCCCAAAAGGAAATAATTACTTGAAGGGCTTCATGTACTCTTTGTACTTGTATGACACAAGTTATATTAAACAGTTTTGTTATAATTATCGTTAAAATGTCGTTATGGTTTCCTATTTACCTTTTAATGTGGTTTGATGAAAGATCCGAAAAACACATCTAAATAAGAAACTAGTTATACAAATAATTGAACTCCAGGTACGCCGCCTAATGCCATATAGCCATATAGGTATCATAATTAACATTTATTAACCGTTCATTAAGTTCGTTATATTAAATAATGGTTCAAAATTCGTTATATATATTTAACCTATTTGGGCATGCCTCATAATAGGGTAACATTCAAGCTATTGAACTCCACATAATTCGAATATTATTTATATGCCTCGTTAAAAATAGTTCGTTATAACTATTAGGTTAAAGTCGTTATAATTTCCTATTAGCTTTTGTTGTACGTAATTTATAAACCTAATATGTTCTTATATTAAAAGGTTCACTAAGTTTGTTATATTGATTGTTAAAAAGTTGTTATAGATTAAACTTCGTGTATGCCTACAATGCTTTAATTCGTTAAGTTCGTTACAATTATTGTTAAAAATTCGTTTTTAGTTATGATCTTGTAGGTCTCATGACAAATAGATCGTTAAGTTCGTTATGAATATCACTAAGAATTATATGATTGTCATTAATTTTTTTTGTCGTAATTTGTCAAATCAAATATGCATTGTAGGTTATAAAAATCTTATGATTTTGAATTTAATATACATTGTTGCCTAAATGAATTTTATTAGAGTATCAAGCTAAATGAACTAATTACAGGGCTAACAAATAATTTACATTAAATTAAATTGAGTTCAATGAACTTACAAATTCAATAAGATCATAATTGGTGACTAATTATTAGAATCAATTAATACTTTAGAGATCATATATACAAGATATATATATTTTATTTATTTATTTATTTATTTATTTTGAGGGAAAATGTAATAAATATATCTTATGTATATAATATAATATGTCGTTAGTTCATAATTATGAGTTCATTAGAGAATTTAACAAACTCGACGTACTCCTAATATATATGACATTTTATTAACTAAATGGTCATTAAATTCGTTAGAATGATCTTTTTATTAACTAAATGATCGTTAATTTCGTTATAATTGTCGTGTTAATCTTTCATTGTAAATTTTTTTACATGCTTTGCAGTTTATATCTCTCAAGCAAAACAATTTCAAAAATCGAAATGATGTGTAATAACAGTTAACAAACATTTTTTTTGATGTTGAGACTTGAAGAAAAGAACCCTTTTTTTTAATGAAAAACAAAGACTTTCTTATACCAGAATTCACAAAAAACTATAATCCAACTGGAAAAAAAAAACTGAACCAATAACAATTCAGCATTCTAAACAGAAACTTAGTATTCTAGCATGTAACGCTTGAAAAAAAAAAATGCACCAAACAGAATAGTAGGGATATAACGTGAACAACTTAAATAAAATTATTTTTTTAAAAAAATAAAAATAAAAAACCCTTCTTACATAAAATTACTTAAATAAAAAAAAAAAAAAAAAACACTTTCATAAAATAAAAGTAATACAGTAATTTTTTATCTAATGATCTTCCATATCTTTTGTTCATCTCAAAATCATCCATTGATATTGATTTAATCAACATAAATCAACCAAATCACACTACACATTTTCAAATTAAGCACCAACATTTTCAAATTAAACACCAACATTTTCATTAAAACAACGAACGAAAACAACAACGACAATGTTAAAACAAACAACGATGACAACGATGATAAAACATAAATTAAAGACATAATAATTTAGACTAAAAAAAAAAAAGTACTTAAAATAAAAAGACACATAATAAGTTTGATATAATTTCCCCCTCTTTCACCAAATGATATGATATGATGCTTTGAGATCAGATTCCAAGTTTCAACTCAAGTTCTTCATCAGTGAGAGTTTGAAAAGAGTTGGCCATCTCAACATTATTTCCAGCAACATTCAGGATTGCACCAACGTTGCCACCAGCAAGCCTGAATTTGTTGACATACTCCTTGAACCACAAAAACCGACGAATTGGTCCAATAGGGCTTAATGGCACCAGACGAAGACGTGGTCGTCCTCGACGAGCCTTAAGTCCAAGCCTTAGGGTTAGATCCACTCTAGGAGTGCGAGGACCGTTATTAGCCCTTCTTCCATTGGTTTGATCTAGAAAATCATGAAATGCTGGTGGTGCTCTTGGTTCGAAAAAAAATGGCCTTGTTGTTAAACCACCTTGAGGGTGTGGCTGAGGCATAGGATAAGGCTCAAACTCAAGGTTTGGCTCAGGCTTAGGCTCAAGCTGAGGCTGAGGCTGAGGCTCCTGAGGCGTCTGATGTTGAGGTTGAGGTTGAGGCTGAGGACCATGCTGAAGATCAAGCTGAGGCTGATACCAAGAGTCCGCCACACACTCAGTCAAATGAGGCTCAAGCAGAGGTTGAGATAAAATTGGATGCAGAGGCTGAGGAGGAGGAGGAGGTTGAGGTGGCTCAGGCTCAGGTTGAGGCTCGATTGGTGGCTCAGAAGGACCCTCATCAAGTTGCGGATTATCAGATGGCCTTTGTCTACGGCGTCTACCTACACTTATATAGGTTTTCAAATGGGTGAAAAACTCACCTCTTATTTTATACCTTTCACCACATACTGGACACAAATAAGGGTATTCAGGTGTAACACCTGGGCGATTTGAGTTAACTTCTTCTCCTTCTTCCACCCTTCGAAATCGAGATCGGCCTGTACTCTCAAGGGAATGGGATTTGCATGGCATGTGTGGAGTTCTTTTGTGCCTCCTAATTCTTGCCATGGTGCACCAAACTGGTGGAAAAACAGAAAGAAAACAATTTTTTTTTTTTTTTTTTTTTTTTTTTTTTTGGCTTTTGGGTTTTTGGGTATTTACTTAGCGAAGTAGAAGTTTTTTGTGTGTGTGTGAAATGGAAGGAGTAAATGAGTTTATATAATAGGAATGTTGAAGAACTAAGGATGATAACACATCATCAAATTATTATTTGTTTGAGCAAATTTCATTATTAAATGTGATTTTTTATTTTTATTACTTTTTAGAGTGTGACTTACATGGTTACGTTTGAAATCACACCAATATCACAAGCATTTGAGATATTACAGATTAATTTTAGTTGTCGAAAGGATTTTTTTGAGGATATCATCAGATATTGCTTATATTTTTCCTTATTTACCTTACTGCCTTTTGATGGAAAATGGTAATAAATCATGGCCTTTTGTAGTTAGGTAATAAATCATACTTGATAATTTTCCCTTTTATTAATTATTTTCAAATGACAAGTGTATGGTGATCATCCATTATAATGAGAAATGAAAAAATAATTAAATAAAACCAAATTAATTATCACAAACTACAATTTAGACCCAATTCAATTCATCTAAATTTCATTTATTTCAAGAAAATAAGTTTAGAGTGGTTTAAATAAGGGTTAATAAGTCAAGATAAAATAAGTTCAAGAAAATAAAATTCAAATAAATTTCATATATGCTTTAATAAGAATTATCCAAGTTCAATTTACAATTAAAACAAGTTCTTATAAGGTCTTATTGGTTCGGATAAGTGTAAATGAGTTCAGTAAAAAGTGTGTTCTATTCACCTTAAAAAAAGGATTAAGAGCTAATTGAGTCTAATTAGATCCAATCAAGTGTAAATATAAAGCATAAGACAAGGCTAATAAGGGTTTGTTCAATCTGTTCATCTTATTTTAGTTTTAATAAGTTTAATTTAGGATAAATAAATTATGATAAGGGATATCCAATCAAGTACAAATAATGTCTAATAAATTCAAATAACTTCAGGTAAGATAAGTTCTAATAAGTGAAAAACAAGCGAATAAAATACACCATATTTTTTAATAATCAGGTCAAATAAGATAAGTTTAGTTGAAGAGAATAATACACTCTATGTTCAAAAAAAATTCAAAGAAGTTAAATTCAACTGAATAGCACACATCCTTAAAGTCCTCTCCTTTTTCAACTTTATAATTATATTCAGCTTTATAATGGTTATGAACGTTGAAGCAACATTTGGTTACATTGCTAAGAAAAAGAGGTTACTTGTTTGTAATAACTCACCACATGGAAGCAAGCATTTAAGAAAAAGATAGGAGAGAGTAAACAAATAGACCAGATTAACTAAAATAATTTAAATAGTAACTATTAAAGGACCAATTCAACCAAAAGCTTAAGATTATGGTTAAAGCTTAGAAATATGCTTTATACTCTATCACGCCCCCTCATACGTGTAACACCCCCAAATCTCCCTCTACGGAAATACTAGTATAATACGTATAATTATATCGTAGAGATAGACTTAGGTGTATTACCGTCGTGTGATTGCGCAAGGCTACTCAACTACTAACCAAACCAATACTTTGTAGCGGAAATTCAAACTCTTTCTTTATTAACAATAACTATTAATAGAAACCATCGTCATGAGTACTCATAATTAAACAAGGACCAACAATCCTATCTAGGTGAAAAACATTTCCGGGACTCCCATATGCTCAATTCTTGACTCCACCTGAAATTAGTCAACACTGCTTACCATTACGGTAAACAGGGCGAACCAAAACAAATAAGAAATACGGATTATCAAAACAAATAAGAAACTAAACATTTCATAGGATAAATAGTAGGCAAATGACGGAAGGAGGACGTGCAACAAGATTAGTGCACGCAAGTGAGGAGGGAGATGCAAAAAGAAAGAAGAAAAATCAAGAAAATAAGAAGAAGAAGAAGAAAAAGAAGAAAAAGAAAAAGAATAAAAAGGCAAAATCTCCTCAAAATCTTTTAGGGTGTCAAAATCACCCTTTTCCTCAATAATCGATGAGAGAGGGGCTTGAATATCACCAATAGAAGGAGGGCCCCAACAAACTCTTTGACAAAAGAAGAGAGGGACATATGATAGTAGGGGATATGGTTAAATCTTCTTGAAAAAGGGACATGAGAAAAGGGAATAGGAGCAATAGTCTCACCTATGAACTTTACCTCACCACCATTCCTCAAATCACCAATAAGAGCATTG